GTTTAAGTTAAAGTGACTGTGGAAATTCTGTGTATTGCAAAGTTGTATTGACAAAGAATAAACTAGTTTTATTTAAGAAAGGACTTGTATCTCTGAAGTTTTACGGGAAATTAACAAACGAACAGAGACATAACAATAGCTTTTGATGTTTGTACTCTGTCATTCTTCTTTACTTCATTTCTCTCTCCTGTGATTTTCAAATCAGAAACACTGAATTATGTTACTTTGTTTTATGCATTTTCTCATAGGTTCTTTTATGATATTTTATAATATTTTATTTTTGCATTTTCAGTGCATCTGACCATGGATAGGATTGTTTGTTGACCTGAAACAATTTTTCTTTTTGCATTTACTGAAATTTAGTAGAATACTTATTCAAAAGATCAGAAGAAAGGCAGATCTGGAAAGTTTGAAGTATTAAACTAATTTTTTTTAATATTAAAAAGTTTATGTAATTTACCAAATTTCTCCCTTGCAGTCAATGATGGTGACTATATTCAAGCTGTCTGTGATAGAAACCTTGCAGAAAATATTTCTAGGGTGCTGTATCCTAATGACAATGTAAGAATTGTGTGTAATTTATCATTTTCAGTCTGACTTTGTTATGTTTGTTGACCAAAGATAAATTATACCAGTAACTGGATATAAAACCTTGTAGAATAATTTAGTGAAAACAAAATGTTTTGTAATTTATTAATTATAAATATTAGCAATGTCCATTTTTATTTTTAAACTTTGTAATGATTGTCAAAATGCTGGGCAGATACTGAGTAAAATCTCTTAGTGATAAATACTAGCATTGTTTAGGATTAAACTTCATATTGACAGTGAGAGTGGGCAAAGATTTTATTAATTTGTTTTAATTAGTTCTTTGAAGGAAAGGAACTACGTTTGAAGCAAGAATACTTTATGGTTGCTGCCACACTTCAAGATATTATTCGTCGCTTTAAGTCATCAAAGTTTGGAAGCAGAGACCCTGTCCGGACTTCCTTTGAAACCTTCCCAGAAAAGGTTAAAACTTGTGCAGTGGTTGAAAGTATGGTTTACCAAGAAGGAAATATATCATTATTAAACAACACACACTGAGAAGAATTAGACATGTGAATTTCAGTGCTTTAAATAATAATAATTATACACAAATATTAAGAATGCCAGATTTTCAGTTTTGGAATATTTCATTTCCATGTTTTTGTGTTATAATAAATGACAACAGCAACAAAAAGTAATGTTATGTGTCAATGCAGCTTATAATAGTTGTGAATAATGACTGCAACTTCCATTTACTTGAATAATAAATTTTTATTATACAAATCTGTTTTCTCATAAATATATTTAAAATTTATATTTTATACATGTTGAAACCATGAAAACTTTGAAGGATTTATTATATTTTTTCGTGATGAATAATGTATACACTATTTTATGTAAATTATTAATTTTTTATTCAAAAATAATGACTACAAAAATAAACCTAGCAAATGTATTCTGCGTATCTGTTTCCAAAAAACATCTTTTTTTTTTTTTAAGGTACTCTCTGTCTGATGAAATTGTGCTCATTAGAGATTTAAACAAGAAAGATAAGTTCTCTGTTAAGTGAACAAGGTAATAGTTAATAACAATTTTTATTGTATTTTGATTCCATATTTTAGGTGTCTATTCAGTTAAATGATACACATCCTGCCCTAGCTATTCCTGAGCTAATGAGGATTCTAGTTGACATAGAAGGCCTGACCTGGGACAAGGTAAATTTTGGTCATCCAGTTTTAATAAAGTTTAAACATTAATGAAGTTTTTGTTCATTTGAAAAATTTGACATGTTGCAAGTTAAGATTTTATAATCTGATTTATTATTTTATTTAATTAAACTTGTAAGTGCTGTGCAAAAATTGAGCTAGTCAGTGATATCTTGTCAATTCTTAGAAACCCTGAACTTTTACTTAATAAGACTTTATGATACCCTAGAAATCCTACTGTGAAACACGTGTGTCAAAATACGAAATTTTATCTTTTGTTTAAAGTAAACTCAAGAATACTTTAATATAAAGCAGATGGTGTTTTTACATATCCAAAATTATTTTTAAATACTTCTGAAATTCAAAGTGCCAGGTTAGGCCATCATTTTTTTCAGCTATGTAATCTGATTAAAGGAATTTTTTTAGGAAACATCATTTGTATAAACATTGCACTAAACTGTTTAAATCTTCTTTTTTTTAATATTTTTTGTAGCTTTATGTATTATATGAGATGTCATAAGAAATTAAGCTAACTCTTTTCCATTGAATTAATTACTTTTTAATGGTATTTTCTCTATTTCTGTTACCTTTATAGTGTGAAGGATATAAGTTATTGAGCAACATAAGCTCTAAAATGATGTACAATATAAAAAAACTTAAGCTCACAAGATCAGCAATAAATCTAGTGGGCAATATCTTTCTCAGCAAATGATTTAAACAATATTTTACTTTAACTAGTGTGAACTGTAGGCAGAGTAAGCTATTGTAGGTTAGCCAGTATTTTATGGAAATTTTTATCAGAATGTAAGTTCATTAAAAATAAGTTAAACTCTCACTGTGAGAAGCCCTCCAATGGCACAGTGGTATGTTTGCGGACTTACAGTGCTAGAATCCGGGTTTTGATACCCTTGGTGGGTAGAGCACAGATAGCTCATTGTGTAGTTTTGTGCTTAATTACAAACAAACATTGCGAGTACAAATGCAATAATAAGGGTTGATTTCAAATCTGAGGATTTCAGAATCAGAACTTCCTTTAACTATAAACATGCCTGTGCAAGTGACTTTAAAGCTAACAATTAAGTAAATTATATGAGTATTATAATATAAGGAAGAAGAAGAATCATAATAATTTTTAACCTTTTACATGAAAAATGCATTATATTAAATTTAGTTTCACAGATTGAAGAGTTGAAATTGTTGTATTTTATCTAGTTCTAGTTGACTGTTGTAGTAAATATTCAACCCTTGATGATTACTTTTTATTATTGCTAAATACTGGCCAGTGCCACTGGAAAAAGTTATTACTGTTAACATGTGTTTAATTATGCAAAGTATTTTATTTTAGTGATTTGCCTTTTAAACTTTAAAGTATAACCTTTTTGCAGTGTTTTGTACATTTATGAAATATGTGAAGTGGTGTATAGTTAACTATTTGCAACATATATCGTGCTTTCTTTTCCTTATCAAGTTAAACCATCAAAATGGACAACTATCCACTCTATTCTTTTAAAATTATTATCTTGTACATTGTCTCTTATTTTAATAAAGCACTTTCTTTTTGCTTATGCACTTACTTACATGTGGTTTTATGTGATTTGTCTGTAATTAAATCTCTGTTTTCGTAATTTAAAAATGGAAAATAAATACACTGCAGCCTTTATATTTTTATTTGTTTGTTTGTTTTTAATGGCATTATTGTATTAAGATATTTATATGTAAAACTGTACATTTAGGCATGGGAAATTAGCTGCAAAACGTGTGCCTACACTAACCATACTGTTTTGCCTGAAGCCCTGGAACGCTGGCCTGTCCATCTGCTAGAAAGAATACTACCTCGTCACCTACAGATTATTTTTGAAATTAATGCCCGCCATCTGGAAGTAAGTTCAAATTGTATCTTTGTTGTCAGTTAATTAATCAAAAATGAAATAATAATTTTCTTTCTTAAGTCAGCTAATAACGTTTTCATTTAAGTCAACAAATTAACATATTAAAATTAAAAACGTTATGAAAAAATTCTCTTTATTTTCAGCTATAAATCTAGTGAATTTTATCTTTTTAATTCACCTATCTTTGTTTCTGTAGAGTATGTAGAATTGCTAGTGTTGACATTTCTTTGTTTTCTTTTTCTATTTTTGATTGAGTGTTGTTAAAAATACACCATTGTACTCTCATAGTTCAGTCCCTCACAGACAGGTTCACTTGTAATACTCTCTCCGGTAATTCAGTCCTTCAGAGATAGCATCTCTTATGCTTCTGATATATATATTCTTTTTAATCCTTCTAATATTAAAGTTGGGAGTAACATTTTAAGGTATGATGAATGGTACACTTTTAGTCCTGTATCTGTGGGTTTTATTAGTGTGATGTTCCTACTGTTGTTGGTGACCTGAGTCTTGATGTTTTCTTAGCACTTAAAATCAAGAAAAGAGTATTTGGAATTAACAAACTCATTACGTAAATGGAAATGAAGTGAGTGGGGGAGGTAGGATAGTAAGGTGAAGTAAAGAGACCTGATTCTAGGCTGAAATAAATTTAAAAGATTGTAAGTTTATTAAAGTTAAAACTGTGCAATATCCAAAATACCAAAGAACATGCAGTCATCCTAACTGTCAACTTCAGGGTGATAATAAAACCCCAAGTATGTCTTAACTTTAGCATCTTGATATTTTACCCTAATCAGATATCTTTTACAGATGAACATGCACTTAATTATTTTTGCTTCTAATCACTATGTACTATTCAAGTTTTATACAAATTTTATTAATCTTAACCTAATTTTATAGCATAATACAAATCCCACAGAAATCAAATTAGTCTTTTGAACATTTTTCTAAATTACATATACCTGAGACAACATGATAGCCATGTACTGGTGCAGTGATATGCAGATATTTTTGAAAGAAATTACCTTCTGTGCATCCTGGATAAAATTATTAAAAGATTATACTTTAATACTACACTTAGTACATTTATAAATTCTTAATTTGGAAAATGCTACTGTACAATGCCTTTCTTTACTAGATCTATTGACATAATCTTGTTTTCTATCCAAAATATATCTTTCTCTTTCAAAATAGAAATCAAATCTTGTTCTAAAACTAAAAAAACAAATTATATGATAATTTAAGCCTAACTCCTAAGAAACTTGTTTATTATTCAGCAATGTTATCACGAAACTGAACATTACTTACCTTTATGAGCTGTACAAAAAGAATTGTACAAATTTCAGTTAATTAAAAAATTTCAGATCCAGGTTATTTGTTCATCTTAATATAAATTGTTTTGTAATTTGTGCTATGCAATAGTAAAATTGAACCATAAAGAGGGCTGGTTTAGATCACAAAGTGTGTTGCTATACCAGACAAATTATTACTTCGTGCATGTCAGAAATTAACTTAAGAAGTAAGAATATGAGAGTTCTGTGTAACTTAACTTTCTCATGAAGATAACTTTGGCAGAATTTACCATCTTAGATATGTCTAGCAAAAATCTAAGAATTTTTAAAAGTACATTCTCCAAGACAAATTGGCAGAAAATCTGAAATCAATTTATTAAAATAACTTGATCTTAGAAACACAGTCTCTGAAAACTAGGACTTGAGCTAAAACAAAGTTTTAATTATAGTTCTAGGTTTCCCTATTTGTTACCAATCATGTCATAGGTCCAGTGAGTTTTTCCTTCCATTGTTCTAACTACAAGTAGCAGTCTTTTTCCATCTATCCTGATTCTTGGTCACAAGATTCTTAAAACTAGTGTGGAATGCAGGCATATCAGGCTTTCTTTGTATCTTAATATAAGAATCTTTCAAATAGTTTTTTATTCTAAGTATGCATGGTTCTTACATAACACATGGTCAAGAAAGTTGATTACATTCTAACTACCTTTTTTCCTTATCATTTCCTTGAAGATAACACTTGGTCTGCCCATGTGAGTTATAGCTGTAAAGCGGCACCTTGTGCATGAAGGTTGGCATCAGTGTCCTTCAGTATTAAGTCAGGTGATATATTGAGGTTACAATTTTAGTTATATTTAAATGGGAATGACTAGTCATGTGGGTAGTGCAACTTGCTCTGGGTAAGTCTTGTATACCAAATTAAATAAGTAACATGAGGTTCAAACAGTCTGGAACATCTTCTTAAGCAAATTGATCAGTTTGGAAATTAGTTTTGAGGAAGAAGAGTAGAGCCAGTTTAACCAGTTCACAACTTCAGTAAAAAACTCAAGTATACACATTGTGTTTGTGTAATGAATAAAGGTTATTTTCAATGTGTATCACACTTATGTGTTTAATTCATTTATTTTGTAGCACAGAATCAGTTAGTTTTATCAAAACTCAGTATTACTTTGTAATTTATCTTGTTGAACCTCCTATTGTATAGTAGACCTGCAGAATTTGCTCTTTCAGGAAATCCGTTTACCTGAAAGTACCATTTAGGGCACTAGAAACGTGACTTACACATGCACTAAACAGTGTGAGAAAGTATATTACATATTAATTGTGAGTGGTATATCTGAACAGATGAGAAATAATACATTTTTACTTGCTTAGAGGAGGTGTTTGATATCTGGCTTTGCTTTCTATCTAACTTGGCCACATTCCTCTTTTATCATTCACTTATTAATCTCTAAGAGCCATGTCATCATTCAGTGAGTAACATATGTACTACTCTACACACCTTATGTAATATTACTATTAAATGCTGAATATAACATATATCATATGGTAAAGTAGTTTACACATAAGTTTAACTTATTTTTACCATTTATCACATTGTCTCCACTTGTGGCCAAACTTTTATTAATTTTTCTTGCTTTGTGTCATAAAATGGCCAAATAAAAGCAGTAAATAATAAAATTTAAGCTTAACAAAGTTGCCAGTTACTGAATTCCTTGCTTTTGGTAGCCTTTGAATTTGTACTACACCATGTTTAGACATAGTGTTTATGCTAAGTTTAAGAAGCACCTTTAAAAGAGTCAACAACACCGTGTTCTGGAAAGAGGACTACAAACTCGCTTCTGAGACAGTTTAAAAGAGTCACCGATTTCTTAAATTGAATTGATTCAGATTTTCTCTAAACACACACAAATTGCCATTGGGAAATGATCATTCTAGTAGCAACCAACACTTTAAATAGACTTCAGATAAATAACTTACATTACAAACAGAGAAATTTGTGTTAATTTAGAAATACATTCTACCCAAATAAAAAGAGAATCACAGCTAAACAGCATGTCATATGCAAACATAATAATAAAATATGTAAAAAAGTGAAACCAGTCCAAAAAAACGTTTTGTTTATAGTACTTGCCAATGTTCTTCATTCTACTGTCAACAAAACAATATCTTAGTTTTTCTAATTAAAATTGTTTATACTTCAAATGGAAATCAAATTGTAATTCTGTAACAGAACTCTACTTCAAGATTCACCAAATGTTAGATTAAATTGAATTGTCTAATATTATGGAACCTGATTTTTTACTAAATGATTTGAAATATAATGAACCTTGAAAAGACTGTTGTGAAAAAATTTTTTGTCAATTAAGATAGCTATTTTTTATTTTTGACAAATCCAGTAATATTTTTCATTAACTTTTTTTTAAATGAATATTTTGTGTTTATTTTTATACAGGAAGTCACCAAAAGATTCCCCGGGGATATTGACCGGCTACGACGTATGTCACTAGTAGAAGAAGAAGGTGAAAAACGCATCAACATGGCTCACTTAGCTATTGTTGGTGCTCATGCAGTGAATGGTGTGGCCAAAATTCATTCTGATATTTTGAAGAAGGATATGTGAGTTTTATCTTTAGCATCAAATGCTTGAAATTTTTAGGTGTACACATGTGGGATTGTAGTTTTTTTTTGTTCTGCAAACTATTTTATAGCAAAGTTTAGTTATCTTGAGATATATATATATATATATATAATATTATATGAACATAATAACAGTGAAACCACATTTGTGATGAAGTACATCTGGATTATTGAGACACTTGAATTGTCTAATCAGTCACTGCATATACAGTTAACATTATGAATAGCATGTGTTATCAATCGCTAGCTGTAATGGTGCAAGCTATTTAGAGTGGGCATGCAATTGCTAAAAAAAATAAATAAACTGATCACTTTATTATTTTACACATTGTCAATGATTATACAGATTGTTTCATAAAAGTGACATATTATATGATTTTCTTTAAATAAGTCATCATTTTGTTCAAACCAATAGCTTACTTATGGAATACTAGTATTCATTAGCTTACAAGTGGGCCTAAGATCCATTTTTTGGATTCCCAGCATTTGGATCCTCTCCTCCTCCTGTGGGGCTTGAATCCAAGGGCTTTGGTCAATTTTAATCAGTCCCAGTTTTTAAGGATTCTTCTTTCTCTGACCTCCCTCTTTTGCACCAATTCCTCCTTATAGTTGTTGTCTCAAACATTTCGCCAGTCACCTGACTATTTTTCTGATGAACTCGGGACCCTCTGGTGGTCTACAATGGCTCGTTTGTTGGTATCAGTGCTGTCTCTCAACATCTAGCTGTTATATTACATGAGGGGTGCATCTTCCCCTTTCTACTTTGAGGGATCTTTGTCAGGCCCCATTTCTTTGAGAAATGTTTTTTATGGGTCGTCCTGAGGCAGTGGAGTCTATGGTTGATGTGGTGAGGTTATGTTCCTCCTTGTCATACTTGGTCTCGCCCTGCTGTTCCCACGCAGCCTTTGCTGGTCCTTGTTCCCTATGCCCCTTATTCCTCTCCCTGTCCCTTACTCTCAGTTTTACTGTTTCCAATCCACCAGAGGTCAGCATTATAGGTGAACAGATGTTCTTTCCGGGGCAGGTGGGGGCCAGGTTGTCACAGATTTTAATCATTTGGCAACTCATCATGACAAATCTGTGGGTTATATGGGTTCTGTCGGAGGGTCTTTGCCTTACGTTCCAGTCCCACCCCTATCTTTTTTGGTTTCCTTCCTTCCTCCTTGGGATTGTACCTCATCCAGTCATCTAGCTGAGTCTGTTTTAGACCTTCTATACAAAAAAACTATCAAATGGATGGTTCCTCACTCAACTGTAATTTTACTTCCATGTATTTGTTGTCTCCAAAACGACAGGAGATTGAAGACCCATTGTAGATCTGTCCTGGCTGAATACCTATTTGGAAACATTTTGTTTCACCATGGAGTCCTACCTCTTACTTTGGTGGGTATGCTCTTTTGCATATCATCTTCACTTGCTGGGTTATCCAACTTACCATCACATGGATGACTGGCTACTGCTCACCTCGTCCCGTGCCCAGTCAGTCATTCACACCCACTTCTTCAAGTAGCTGCTTGGGTAGGGTTTCTCATCAAGTTGGAGAAGTCCCCTATTATCTCCTTGCAATATCTTATTAATTTTGGGGTTCTCTTCAATTCCCATCTCAGTTGGCCCCAGTCTTCTCCACTTTGGCTCATGGATCCATATGGAATGGGAAGTTACAAAGGTCCTACCTTCTCCTTCTCTCACAGTGCAAGAGGTTCTGGGGATGTAAGATTTATGGAAGCTCTCTTTCCCTTGGGTTGGGTACATGTGCATTCCCTTTAGTGGATGCTTCTTGATCAGTGGAACTTCTCCCATGATCCCTTGGACCATCCTATCACCCTGCCACCTGGGATTAGGCTGACCTTGCTTGATGGTTCGACAAGAAACTGACCACAGTGGGGCTTCCCATTCCTCCACCTCATCCCGAGTCTCATCTGTTCGCAGATGCATCTTTGGTGGGTTGGGGGTATCCTGAGAGGTATCTGGTTGGTAATCAATCAAGGAGGCTACTTTCCATATCAACATCTTAGGACTTTTGGCATTTTGTTGGGCTCTGTATCATTTCCTCCCACTTCTGCGGGGGCTGGTGGTTATGGTTCATTCCAACAATTTCACTGTCATCATCTATATCACCAAGCAAGGGGGAACCAAGTGTTTTTAGACTCTGAATTTCCTATACTGGGCCCATGATCTCAACATGATGATCCTAGTGTATCATGTTCCTGGTGTTATGAATCTTGTAACTGATTGCTTATCTCATCCCAACCAGGTTCTCTCATGGTCCCATTATCCTCGGTATTTTGGTGGATGTGTTCTCAACTTGGATCACTGCATATAGATGCATTTGCCATTCACTGGAATGCCAAACTTCTTTCCTTTTGGTCTCCAATTCCACACCCCACAGCTCTGGGGTGAGTGGATGCGTTCAATTCAAGATTTGAGGGATCTTCACCTATATGCCTACCCTCCAATCAGACACACTCCAGAGTCATTTCCTTTATTCAGACTACTCCTTGTTGTGTTCTGCTAGTTGCTCCATGTTAGAAGGCTCAAAGCAACAACTCCTGCCCTTAACTCTGTCCCAGTCACTTGTCCAACAAGCATGATTGGACATTCTTCATCCTGATGTCACCAAACTCCAGCTTCACCTGTGGCTTTTGTTCAGTCCCTTGTCTCAGCTCAGGGACTCGCTCACATGTAGCATCTTTACTTTCCTGTACCATTTGATCTTTCTCCTTGTCTGTGTACCAGAGGCACTGGTCTACCTTCAGACTTTGGTCCATTCGTCACGGCTTCCACCCATCCCGGCTTTCTGTTCCACTTCTTCACTTAGTTGTTTGATCAGGATTTATCTCTGTGTGTTTTGTTTGTTTGTTTTGAATTTCGTGCAAAGCTACACGAAGGCTACCTGCGCTAGCCGTCCCTAATTTAGCAGTGTAAGACTAGAGGAAGGGCAGCTAGTCATCACCACCCACCGCCAACTCTTGGGCTACTCTTTTACCAATGAATAGTGGGATTAACTGTCACATTATAACACCCTCACAGCTAAAAGGGCAAGCATGTTTGGTGGGACGGGGATTCGAACCCACGACCCTCAGATTGCGAGTTGAGCGCCTTAACCACCTGGCCATGCCGGGGCTAATTTATCTGTGTCAACTGTTGCTAGTTATCTCCTTCAGCACGGGCTTGTAACCATTGTGTTCTTGTTATAGTTTTCATGCTATAACTTTTAAGTTAGTAAGCATATGTTCACGAAAATTGGCAAATTATCAGTAAACATTACAATGTTTTCATGCACAAAATATCAGATTTTTTTTATTGAGTCTTAAGGTTTGTTAAGCAATGTTTTTCTCATGCTTTTTTTTCTTTTTGCATGTTGGCTATCTTACATGCAAAGTAATTTTCATTTTCATGCATCAGAAAATTTTCAAATTTCACATGTGAAATCCTTATAATGTCTAGATAGGTATCAAACGTTTCTTAAGAAAGATATTTATAACTTATCTGTTATTTTCAATAACGAATCTCTGTACGGGTTCAGTTGATTTGACTGATCTTGTAAACACCATAAATAATTAGGAAATAAATATAAATTACGCTTTTTTCGTTATAGAATGACTATAAATTATAACACAAGAAATAAAGGTTTAGATTAAATAGCTTAAATCTTGTAGCATTATACATTTATATATATTTATCATATTGACCTTTCAGCCATGCCTGGCTAACAATATAGAAGTTAGAATGATGTGGCACACGTGCACTCGTTACCGTATCCAATAACATATATACAACTGGCCTTTAGTCTTTACAAAGTGACCTGTCTTGGCTGTGTTTTAGTGGACTAGTATTTTGTAAAATACAGTCATATTTCAATTATTATACATTATATATGTATATAGGTTATTGCTATTTAGAAACAAGTTCTTAAACTTAATTGTCTTAAATTATAGAACAGTAAATAAAGAAATAAAGCATACAATTATCTCTTCAAGTTATAACCTTTGTACTCGGTTGTTGCTTGTCATAACTTGCTAAGCCTTAAGAAATTTTGCACGTGGAGGATGTGAAACAAATTAATTTTTTTTAGGTTTTATATATATACAATTGAGTAACCAAAAAATAATAAATTACTGTATCAATACCATAGAATTGCATTATAATTTATCAAGTTTAATAACTAAGCTGTATTTGGGCTTAAAAAAATATGACATTTCAAACAAGCTAAAGATTCAACTTACCAACTTGTAGGTTTGTATTGAAAGAAGGATATGATGGCATTATATTTGTAAATGGCTGAGAAAGACACTCGGGGGACATTCTGAGCTTTCAATTTGTTCTTTACATGTCATATATAGAAGTAAGTATATATAGGGGACTGTTTCCAAAATTGGAAAGAGGTAAGCTGGGCCACTGTGTTTGATTCAGTACATGAGTGATATCTCAGCAAATAGAAATGATAGGAGGTTCTTATTTTATATTCTAGCTTGTCAGTATCGGTAATTTGAGTTCCTAATTTGTACAAAACTATAGACATCACAAACATTTAATTTGAACCAGTGCTGCATTCAACATACCACGGGACACGCAAAAAATCGATGTTTAGTTGTGTTTTTTAATATTTACTTTTAAATTAAGAAATTAAATAATGTATAGTATGAAAATATAAATTATAATCTACGGTTTGATACCAAACTTAACTCTTCCAATATGTTTGAATAGTCCGTGTGCAAAGTAACTTTCATGTTAAAATTAAAAATACTTTTTGTCATCTCAAAAATCTCAAATTTCTTTGTGTAATCCCTAAAACCTCCTAAATGCATTTCAAACGTTTTTTTTTCACTAAATCCTTATAGTTTATATGTTATTTTTTTCTACCCTAATCTCAAAACGGGATCGGTCAATTCGACCGACCTCGTAACCACCAAAAAAAAAATCCAAATAAACCTAAATTAATCTTCTTTTCTTCCTAGTATGACTTCAAATTGTAACATGAAACTACATTTGTTTATTGTAAGTAGCTCTAAGTTCTTAATGTTATACATCTATTTATAATTAAATTTTATTGCCCTTTCAACTGTGTCTAACTGCTATCCATGCCATTATAAGTTTTAAATCACTTGGAGAACGTGCAGCTCACATTACCCACGAGCTGCTTGCATGTGTGCTTCATGAACAATTTTAATTATACTATTATTATTATTACTTATTTTACCTATTCTAGTCTTAAATTATTTAAAAAGATCTGTACTTTTAATTTTAGCTACTTTTATAATAATAAATAAAGAATAAATATAAAAAACAAGAAATAAAGTACTTACCCAATCTTTTTTTTTCTTGCCCTCGATTGTGGAGGAAAGTTAAGCCTGATATTTTTTTTTTTCTTCTTTTTAGTGATTATAGTAAAGCACTTAACAATTTTTATTTGATTAAATAATACACCAAAGAATATAGACTAATAACAT